GATGCTCGCATTATCTATCAACCAAGACAAATGACACACTTGGAATGAAGACAACAATGGTAACCCAGAAAAACTGCAGAAACACTAAAGAAGGAACACAAGCAAAGGAGAAGAGGGAGAGAAACAACTGAGACATGCCAGCAAATATTAGCATTTAAACTGTCAGTCAAAGACAAGACACATATTTTGATCCCCTGCTTGCCCTATATTCTAACAGGTCTTGCCTTTAAAATCAGAACTATTCTGGGACAGATATCCGAAGTATTCCAGTTCCAGTAACTGCAATACCAAGCTTGGAACACTGCCAGACCTCTCCCAGGCAGAGAGCAGTAATCACAACTTACCTGTCCCTCAACTGTCACCCAGCTGCTGATGAGGACAAGACTCTAGAGGGGAGCATGTTATCTAATCCTGTCCCCAATATCTTACCGTGCACACAGGTGAGCAGCATCTACAGGAAGCTACTTCCTGTGAAGTGCAAGTCTAATTTTATATGGAGCATTGATAATGCTTAGTACAAAAAGCAGAAGTGCATTTTCACAGCAGCGAGGCTATGACTGAATAGCTTTTAATCTCAAATGCTGTCCAATAGCAAAAAGAACCAAAAATAAGATTCCACAACCTAGATAGAGCAGCTGAAAGTCGAGTTGCAATACAATCTGCATAAGGCATACGAAGCTTAAAAGAAAGCTTTCTGGAAGCTTTCAACAGATTGTGCATCTTCTATATGAAGACTAGGGTTAAATTAGTGGCATAACAGCTTGTTTGTACGTATCAAGCCTTTGACACAGCTCAGTCTCATTTTAGAAAGAAGTAATGCAGGTGCAAAGGCTCATCCTAATACCCTTTCTGTATCATACAGCCATATCATACAGGTGGTCTGGGTCCGTCACATGCTATATTTCCATAAAGGTTTGTGTTTATTTTGCAGAGTTCCTAGTGCCTGCATTCCACCAATGCTTCCTTCATAATTCCCCATTTAGTCTCTTTGACCACCATTTATGATCAATTTAGTACTCGACTGCCAGTTTCCTTTCTCCTTCAAATATTGCTTGAAACAAAATCCTTCCACCAAGCCCCAGTAAGGCACCAGAGTGATAAACTGAAAAACAAAACCAAACCTGCAGTACTGTGGGAGTAGACCATGACTGAAATACCCAGTGATTTGTGCACCTGAGCTGTACTGTAATTTAGAATGACCATTACCTAGACCAGAGACAATTTCTCCCTACTCAGGGATTGTTATATTACTAGGGACACCAAATGCTCGATCATTTGCTTTGTTAAAAGAGTTTAGGCAACCTACATTTCAAAACAGGGTTATCCCAACCTCAGTTGGAAACAGGATTTCCTTAAGGAATTGTTATTTAATGAAGATTAACAGCTAGAGATAAGGGACCTAAGTGCTATAGAATGTCCTCTTGGCACTTAAATTCTATTCAGAATGCAGTAAGTATGAAGAATCAAGATTTACATTCTTTCCAGTGCTCTACCAGCTACCTCAGATCAGCTCTTTACAGACTATGCCACTAAATGCAATGCATAGCATCTCTAACCACCCAGAACAGAATCTCTCACCCCTGGGACCAGTAGCTCACTTGGAGGAAAAGATTTTGTATTTGCTTTCACCACTATTGTAATGGAGGAGCAACCAGGCAGAATATTCTTGGAGCTAGTCTCTGAGATTTCAAACTGGCTGAAAAATTACTTGCTGAGCTGCAGAAGGTATTCACTTCAAGTGGACAGCATGCCAACCCCAGCATCCTTAAACCATGCCTCCCCATGGAGTTTATGACCTGGAGCTGACCAGGAGATGCCTGCATTGTACTGCAGTAACCACCTGGGTCCCTAAGAAAACAGACCTTCTATTAAACTGAAGAGTGTTTGCTTTTCAAAACAAATCCCTTGGCTATGCGGTTGTCACTAGGGTATTTTTTAGGATACGCCTTGAAAGACCATCTGCTTTGTTTGTCTGAGAATGGATCCATATACATATGACTGGGAACTGAGCATGTAGTTGAAGGTACCAATTAAAATGCAATTTGAATGATGCTCAGTTCCATGATTCCTTCCATCTTCAAGCAGTGCCTCAAAGGTAAAGAGATGTAATGTACTACTACTGCTCTTCAGCACCAGCTGGCAGAGACACTTCCATCTGGTCTTGTACAGCCATTGCTCATATCCACCCTTGCATGTTTTAAGCTACAGTTAGAGAGCTAACACTCAAGTGCTGCCATTCCAAGATGCGTGTCACTACATCTCCCAACACAGGAGCTATACTACAGCCCTTACCTCACAGCTGGGTTCTGCTATCTGCACTTCAGTTCTCTGTGTTGGAAAGGGCGGATGTCCTTGCGTGCCAGGTCTTGACCACGTGCTGAAACACTGCATTCCCCACACGCCATGGGAACAGCTTCCCTGAAATTAAATAAAGTCTTATCAGCAGAGAAGGTAACAATAGCAAAGTTGAAGCAGGTTGAATAGCAAAGTTGAAGCACCCTTCTACAAAGGGTGTCTGGTGGATCAGTTTCAGTGCGGAAGGGGAAGCGCTTAGAAAGGGGAGCCAAGATCCAGGAAAAGACCCCCTAAGAAAGGTGGAAAGAGCAGTACCACAGTGGGAAATTTAGGAGGCAGCCTAAGTAGGCATCAGCCAGGATTCTTCCGAGGATTTCTTATTCTGAAGATTTCAGCCAAAGTAGATTTGCAAGTGTTTAAGAACATGCTAAACATTTCTGCACCCTCTCATAGCATAATGGAATCTAGTTGCTGGGAGGCAGGTTCCCTTTAAAGGCAGGCACATAAGCTTAATCCTCACTATTTTAAACTAGAGGGGTTGGGTCCTAAGGTTTTAGAGCATTTTAGATGAAGAACAGGATTGTGTCAGCTCATCAGCCTCTGCCCACTAAGGTTCTCTCCAGCCAGCCAACTTTGAAGCCACTCTCTCAAAGAGTATGAGCTTTTCTTTATTGCCTTAATTTCAAACTATAAACGTAGCTTGCTTGGTCCCACTAAAACACATGCACAGAGGATTATGTTTATATTATTCATCCAATATAATAATATTGGGGGCTGGGTCAAGTGGTGACAAATGCAGTTCCATGCAAGGGTTAAGGTTTAAGATTTTTTCACTGCCTGTAGCCTCTGAGCCAGGACAGCCAGAAGCACAGGCAAGGAAGCAGACCAAGGCTTGAAGTGCTCCTTCATCTCACTGCACAGTGAACTAACTGGTTCTGGAAGGAGGGGAGAGGGATTCAGCATGTGTCCAGCCCAAGTGGGACTGGAAGGGAAGAGATTATGAGGAAAGAGATTTTCAGAGTTAATGGGGAAGGTACTCAAGACCCCAAATCCCAAACCATGTGAAGTGTAATCACGTGACTAGTATGCTGCCGTAGTAACAACCACTATTATAGTTGAGCCTGGGGACTTTAGAGAACTGCCTATGCCAGACCCTGTAAGTATTCCCTTTACCAAGCAAAGATCCCGCTGACTTTCATGTCTCACATCACCTCTCCTCAGCAGCAGCTCACCCCCAGCATGGGCAACCCTGTGGCTGAACTTGCGCACATCCCGCCTGTGTCTCATCTGCCACATCGCACCCCCAGCCCTGGAGAACCGCTCCCCAGGACATGGGATGGAAAACCAACCCCGGCCATGCGTGGCTGCGCTAGCCACGGAGAGGAGCAGGGCAGGGAGCTCTCTGCTCCCCCAGAGGTCGGCCAAGGCCTCCCCTGAGTGCACCGCGCTGTTCCCCGCCGGACCCTGCAGGGGAGGGGAGGGGAGCCTCCCTCCGCGTCCTTAGCGCATCTCACGGGCCGACCCGACTCCGAGCCCGCAGCCCGGGCCGGGGAACGGCTTTAGCGCGGGTTACTCAGCACTTCCCCGGGCGCAGCCCCCCCCACTCCGGGGCCGCGGCAGCCGGGCAGGCCCCGCCTCGCTGCCGGGACCCGGGAACCGGCTCGCACGCGTCCGAGCCAGCCAGCCAGCCAGCCTCGCCTCGCCTCGCCTCGCCAGCTCCTCCTCCCCCCTCCCCGGTCCGGCCGTAGCCGCTCTCCCCCGGCGGGACCAGCCCGGCCCCGCACGCACCTGGCAGCACCCGCCCGGCTCCTGCCCCAGCTCCTTTTGTTTGCCCCTCACTGCACCACTCGTGCTGCCCCGCCCCGGAAGTGACCTCATCCCTCCCAACATGGCTGCCGCCAGCTTTCCCCAGCGGGGGCCTGAGGAAGGGAAGGGTAACGGGACCCGCCACCTTTATACCGGGCAGACGTATTGACCGTGGCCAGTGAGTGCCGCCATGTTTGAGTGGGGCACGGCCTTAAAGGGACTGTTCCTCGAGCTGTCAAAAATCTCCCCAAGGGATCAGCCCGTTTCCGACCGCCTCCCCCCGCCCCGGGGCGCGTGTGCTCTTTAGCAGTGCCCAGGCAGCCGTAGGACCCTCGCGTTATAGCCTCATGGGCTGTCTTTCGTGGGTTCCAAGTAACCTAGAGGAGAAAGGACTTAATGCCTTAAGGTCCTGGGTTCAAATCCTACCAGCGCCCTTCATCCCAAGGGTGCCTGTATCAAAAGAGGCCATTTGGATCAAGGCTTTGATTTATGTGGGTGTACAGCACCCCCTGCCCCCTCATTTCCTTTGCCTTGAATCACCTGCTGCTCTCCATCCCAAGGCCTTTGCCTTTCAAACGTTGCTCCTAGTGAGAACAGTTTCCTCCTCTGTGTCCCTCACTTCCCTTCCTCTTTTGTGCCCTTGTGACAAGGTGTTTAGCAGAATTCACAGATTGGCAGATGAGGGCTGCACCCCCCTCAGACTAGACATAAGTGGATTGAATCAGCCATGCCCCGTCAACGTCAGGGGGCGACCCTGGAGTTTGGTTAGTAAATGACCCTGCAACACAAAACACCAGGTGCCTATCAACTGCCGCTACCTTTTCATAACCTGGCTTGTTTTAAGGATCTCTTAATTCACAGTGAAAGCAACTCAGATTTAAAGCATGTATACCTGATAAGGCAGGAGTGATGCCCTGTTACAGATCATGTTGTCCTTGTTTAACCTTCCTCTTTCAGAGAGAGAAATCAGGAAGCAAAGATGCAAGAGCTCAAGAACAAGCCCTAAAGTTTTGTTCAGGCATACGTGATTTATGTGACATCAGTGAAGAGCTCTGAGTGCAGAGTAAAAACACAAATGGGGTGCCAGTGGCCCTGCCCCATTTAAGTTGTATTAAAGGCAGGCAGCATATTCAGTACTGTGTAAAACACAAAGCAGAATAATTTATTTACCTGGTTGATTCCATTGTGCATCACATTTATGCTTATAGGTGTAGAGGATGCTGAGATGTAACTGCTCTTTGGTAAACCTCTTTGTCATGTATTTCTTTTTATTTAGGGCCAGGTTGTTCTCTCCTTGAAGTTAAGAGAATTTTGGCCATTGATACCAATGTGAACAGGTGTGGGTCCTTTCTGAGCTGTAGACGGAAGCCAAAGTCCAACCACAAGTAAGTATTTATTTATTTTAAATATATTGATATATATTTAACTTAAAGACTTTTAAAGTTTCAATAACAGTAACATTTCTCACAGGACCAAAATGTTTTGTTCTTTATATACTCTTCTCTTAGCAGTTCAGTGTTTAAAACCTGCCCAGCTCATTTTTGTAAATACTACCTTGGGTAGAATGGGTGGTTTAACTTGGGAAAGAAAGGTACACCATCTGGGCTTGATCATCGTCTTCCCTGAACCTTGAACACGCACTCACACTGGTACAAACTGGGTGTACACCACGTCCATTCTGCTCTGGTATCATTTTATACCCAGGTCCCAACAGAGAGGCAGGCTTTGATGCACAATGGTATTTAGGTCCATAGCTTGTATGTCAGTGCCTTAACACAATGGGAAGTTAGGCATCTAAATACGAGTTGGGTGCTTACTACCTTTGTAGATCTGGGCCTCAGCCCCTCAGCAGATGGATATCTAAATTTCAAATCTCTAGAGTAATCCTAGTAAATGCTGTCATATATAAAAGGGTTTCTCAAAATAGAGTTGGGACAATCAGTGATTTTGAGGAGAGTTTACATTAAGAGGGAGGAATTGATTTCAACTGCATGTTTTACAGCTTTTCCCTTGGGGCCATATAAAGACCAATCCACATCCATTTACCAAAGCGGAACATTTGTAAAACCTCATTAGATTTCTATGACAATAGTTTACCAGTGTAAGGCCATTTGCGAATGTAATGTTTGTTTTACTGTTGCCATGAATAGAAACATAATTATTAGACGGCGACTGTGTCCGATGGTAATTTTGCAGCATCAGTAAAATCAGGCGGATTCACAGGGGTTATTTTCATTAGGCGGACTCATGTTGAAATGTTAGGCAGCATCATTCAAAAAAAGATCATAAAGGAGAGTTCAAAGGCATTCACTGTAATCTTCAAGGCAAACCAGGCAGTTGTGAGTGATTGCAGTAAGTGCTTGGGAGTAGCAGATTATAACTGGCACTCACCGGTTATTATTTCCATAGTAAAAGATATATCTGTAGCTTTCTAGGAACTTCACATTCACCAGGATGCTGCACTACACATTGGCATTACAGACTGCATGACATGCAGCTAAATAGCTCTGATTCCATTCACTAGGGGACAGTGGTGTTCAGACACATAAGCTAGTTCATTGCACTATTATGTGTGTGTGTATACACACATACATATATCATTTTTATTATTATTTTCAGTATGTCTTTAAGAAGGAGGATGGGTTTCTTTTCTTTTTATGATGTATAAAGGAGGTCTAGAAATATGTTTTTTTCTAATGTTGCTTACCTCATCTAGTCCAGAACTATTAGCCAGCGTCTTTCCTTGCACATCTTGGTGGACACCCAGATGCTATTTGTCCGTGCTTTCCATCATTTATGGAATACGCAGGGACACTGAATCTTAAACAACCACTATTTTTTCTCACAATTGTTTATTCAGATGTTTGAGCTAGCAAGAAGCTTTAAAAAGAAATCAAATCATTTTAAGACAGCTGAATAAAAAAAAACACTTTACCTCTCTCAGTGGGTCACATCTGCAATGTCTTTTAGGCCAGTCAGATAGTAACAAGCACAGAAGCAAGAGCCAGGAGACCTTAATCAATCCCCAGTTCTCTCCCAGATGTACTGACAGCTGAAAACAGTCACTTTCCCCTATGCCTATTTTTTTTTCCATCTGTAAAAAGGAAAGAATAATTATTTACTTCCCAGGGGAGTTGCAAGACCCAATTCGCGAATGTACGTAAAACATTTTGAGATCCTAGTATTTATGGAAAACAGAAGCAAAGAGAGGACTGACTTGGGCCCAAATATCACTTTCAGAGTCTGTTTTAGATTCCATCCCTTCTGGTAAATTAAAGTTAGGGATTATAATTCCCATATCATTATGAACCCTTATCCCCTGATAAAATCCCAGTTCTTCGGACTACCATCTGAATATGGTCCTGACGAGAGACATTATCCAAGGATTCCACTGCAGATCACATTATATGTAGCCAAAAAATTAACTTCTGAAATACCCAGTAAAAATCCCTTGCCTTTCATTCCTTTGCCTTGTTATCCAGTCTTATAATATCAGTCATCTGAAGTGCTATTTTCAAAAGCACCGAAATTACTTAGAAGCTTTTAAGGCTTGTTTTCAGAAGTGACCAAGGATTTACATCAGACACAGGGAAATTTCTTGCTCTAGCCCTACCAGAAATATTACCTGCTAAAGTTATCTTGGTAGAAGTGCCCATGTAGACACACTTACTACTGCACCAGGACATTTTCCTTCCTCTGTAGCTAAAGCACTTAGGAACCCAGACTGTTTGCCCCTTTTGAACATGACTGGGCTCCTCAGTTGACCATTGTTGCAAACAAACTGGAAATTTCCAGATAGGCAACTTTGAGACTGGAACCCCAAATTACCTTTCACCCTTATAGACATTTCCTTTCTCATTCAGCCTCAGCTCCTTCTCTTCTGCAGCTAGCCCAACAGCTGTCCTGAAGCTCCTCCCAGGAAGTCACAAGAGCAGAGGGAGCAATCAGAAAGCCTGTGCCTGGGAGGGAGAACGGGGGGGGGGGCTGAACTCTGCAGAGAGACAGCCTGCATAGATTGGTGTAAGTTGATTTACCTTTCTCCCTTCTAAGAACTGCTTGCACTAGTCTGTGTTTGCAGATGACCTCTGGTTGTTTCCTTTTTTGTCCTATCGTGGAGTCGCAATGAGAATGTTTCCTGTGCTGTCGCTTCCAGCGAAGGAAGTTGTGCAAACAGCGTCCTTGCTGGCATGTTCTTACAGCTCAATCTTACTAATAGCACTTGTTCTCTGTTGGTTGAGACACTGATGCAGAGAACAAGCACAAAAAGCATGAGGACAAAGGAGGCTGTGTTTACTGTTATGTGGGAAGGGTAGTAGGAAATAATCATGAGTGACCTTTTCCTGGGGTGATCTGAGCAGGCTGTGTACTGCTGCTATGTGTAATACATGAAACTTTTGTGCTCAGGCTTACACTGCACAGATAAAGGACATCCCTGCTTGCTTCATTCTCCTCTGGAGTTCAGTGTAACTGAAAAAAATATACCCAAATTAATGGACACTAGCTGCGTCTAAGTCTACATAGCCTTCCCCCTGTCCACAAGATTTGCTACTGCAGGATCCCTAGTAACCTACCTACTGCCCTGAATTGCATTATAATATTGTTATTTGTGGTTTAGATTAACACCCCCACATCCCACCAAGTATCAGCACCTTAGCCCTGTAACTTGAAACCAAGTGGCAGTACATCTGGGCACTGCAACAGGCTGCCTAAGGAAACAGTGAAATCTTTCCTTGGAGGTTTTCAGGAAGAGGTTGGATCAGCATCTGGCTGGGGTGGTTTAGCAATACTGTAGCCAGTTCTGCATCTGTGCATGAGGTTAGACTAGATCAGCATTTTTTCAACCTGTAGGTCACAACCCAAAAATGGGTTGCAAGAATATATGAAAGGGTTGTGGACAACATTTAAAAATGGATCAACAAATTTAAAAAATGGATTTGCCTTTAAAGGAGAAAAACTTGGGAAACCGTGACTTTTCCCTTGCGGGCTGGCAGAGCTCCACCTGGCAAGGAGCTGCTTGGGGCCCCCATGTCCCACACCTGCCCCTTCCCACACCCCCATCCCCTGCCCCATACACTGGGCAGCTGGGAGCTGGGTCCGGGGGCAGTGGGTCAGGAGTGAAGGGCATTGGGTCAGGACTAGCCATCAATGTTTACAAACAGGTCTTTGTACAAAAAAGGTTGAGAACCACTGGACTAGATGACCCTTGGAGTATCTTCCAACACTGTGATTTTAAGTGATATCTGTGATGGGAGTGTAGAAGGCAGCCATGATTTTGTCCTTAACTAGCCAGAAGGAAGGAAGGGAAGAAGATGGGTGGATGTTCACAAAGAAGCACCAGACACTGCTGAAAGCCTGAAATTAGTAGGAGAAGGCGGCAGCAGGAGCTGCAGACTACCTGTCCTTTTGCATATCCTTGTGACAAGGTATTTAGCAGAATTTGCAGGTATCATTGGAATTTAACAGGCTGTGCCAGGATTGCTTCTGCTATGGCCTTGAACATAAAACCACTTTGGGTGTGAACTGTGCACCTTAATGCCCAGCCCAGCCCTCAGCTGGTGACTGAGCCCTGCTATGTAATCCTGGGTTTGTCTGTGCCATAGAACCCAAGAATGGTCCAGTGTCTGTTATTAAACTGTGAAGTAAAGACATCTCATCCCTCTCCCGTCCCTCTTATCCTGCATAAGACTTTATTCCTGTCCTCTTTCTCCCACTAACAGATGATGGCAGAGTCAGACAGTCAACTATCTGAATGTAGAGTAACTAGAGTACCACCAAAACTAAATGAGAGCCCTGGGCAGGACTCTATAATTAAAGGAGTCTTTGCTTTGTGTCAGCAATCATGTGGAATTGTTGATTTCATCCTTTTTTTCTATCTTGGGGAAAATGCAGGTTTGTGCCTTTGGGACCAGAGTCAGTGGCTGCTGTGGCATGCTCAGGAGAGCTGGACTATCTCTGGGCCAGTTCCTTTGGAGGAGGAAGAGCAGTGCTGAATTTAGCTGTTCTATTGGCAAGGTATTGAACTCCCAGCACTGTGCATTTCTCCGAGCTGTAGGCCAACTCCTGGCTCAAGCCTTCAGGAGATTTTGGGGCCAAGTAAGCCTGTAACACAAAGTTCAGTTTTCCAGTACACTGGTAGCATTAGCAGTGGCAGAAGTAGCATTGTAGAAATTGTATCATAGCTGCAAACTCTTTTCCATCCAACTACCCTGTATTTTATGGTGTCTCTTTTAAAAGAAACAGCTAATCGGCACAAGAGCAGGCTGTCTAATGCGGAATAAAGGTTTCTGTGGATCCCTAAGAAGGTTGACCTTGTCAGAAATAATACTTGAGATGTCTTTGCACCATCAAAGGATCTTAGAGCACTTTACAAGTTAGGGGGATATTATTATCCAGGGAGGAAGGACAGAGCAGTGGAATCTCTTACTGAGGATTTCACAGTGAGTCTGTCACAGAACCAGGAATAGAATCTGTCCTTTTGATTCCCATCTCTGTGCTTAAGCCATATAATCATCTCTTTTCCTCTGCCACCTCAACTACAATTAAGGAGATACACTGTTCATTTTGGGAATGTGTGATGAAATTAATGAGATAACTTACTGAACACAGACCTATTCTCTCTTGATGAATTAAATTCAGAGGCCACCAGGTGAGCTGACTAACTCCAAAGTTACATGGTCGTCAGCCATGGTAAAGTTACTGCCAAACCCAGACAGCAGCTGTCTCTGTTCTGCAGCTATGGGGGGATGGCTGATCTAAGCTGGGCCTGAGAAAAGAGGAAGCAGGTGTAGTGAAAGGGTGAGATTTATGTGATTTTTCTTTCCCAGTGGTTGGGGACAAGGACATCTTTACTGAGAATCAGATCCTTTTACTTCAAGACACCTCTTTCTTACTGACCACTGGTCACTTTATTTCCTGGTGGAACAAAATGTTCTGAGTCTTGACCCAAGGGCAGTGCTGCCAAGAACTTTTTCTTGCAAATGAGTGCAAAAAAAACAGAATGCTAGAGCCATTAATGTTTAATCTTCATCTTGCTTTTACTTGCAGGGTTCTCAGTTTCCTCTGCTTAGTCACTGCTCCTTGTATTCCCAGTAAAAACAGTGCGGGTTCCTCGTCTTGCCAGTAGTCACATCTGGGAGCTTGTTCACAGAGAGCTAGGAAAAAGTGTGTGGGAGAAGTCCTAAGCTTTGGCCTCTTTCTAAACAATTTACTCTTGCAGAAGGGATACAGCAGCAGGCAAGTGTGTGGCATCCCTTGGTGCTGGACACTGGCAGCAGTGAAAGAGCTCAGAGTTCAGCACCATGCATTATGCAAGATGGATCATTAGCCCAGCCTCCCCCACTCCTTCCAGAAGCAAAGAGATCCTGCCCAATGATTTACTTGTGAAATTAATAGTGAGGGGCTAAAGCCACTGAACCGTCTTGGTGCCCCAGAGGGAAGTACAGGCACTTTGTGCCACTTATCAAATGATGGCACAGCTCACTGGAAATTGCAACAAGAAGGAGGTAAGTGGGAATGTGTTCTCTGGCTGAGAGATTGGTAAGCATTTGTGTGGGGATAGGGAAGGGACTCAACATTTCCCTGGCTTCCTACCTAAAAAACAGTTCTCTGTGCAGTACCTTTAACATACAACCTTTCCTGACCACCCCACTTTTATCTAAGATCTCCTTATGTTATGTCTCCAATCTTCTCTTGTCCCATTTGTATCCATGCAAAATGCTGTGGCAAACATTTTCTTATCACTTTGGCCATCTCATCCTTCCCTGTGCATCCCTGGACTGGCTTCCCTTTTTGTATGGAATGTTAGTTACTTGTTTCTATTTTCAAGGCCTCTTATGGGCTTCCCTACACTGTTGATGGTTTTACTCATGCTATGGAAATTGCTGACTGGCCACTGGTGCTAGTCTTCATCACTGCCTTTTTAACTTCTCAAATAAGTGTCTGTGTTTCCTCCTTTGCTGTCTGTCATATTCCACCTAGACATTGCAAAGCCATCTCATTGTCCTCCTTCAAAACCTTCCTGAAAACTCCCTTTTCAACGATACCTACAAAAACGTTGACACCAGTGGCGAAGATAGTAGGCTTAGACCACAGCCCATCTTGCTGACCACGATCATCTCTTTGTCTGTTTCTCCATATCTACCTGTTGTCTTTTATCTTGTACTTAGGTTGTAAGTTAATGACCTGCATTTTTGTTCTGTGTTTATACAGTGCCTAGCTCTCTCAGGTTTTGGTCCATCTTGGGGTTAGTGAAAGCATTTAACCATTTCTATCTTCTCCCTTTGTCCATTTCTCTCTTCCTTTTCTTCTCTCCCCCCCTTCCTCCCTCCCACTCTTCCTCCCTTCCTTCCTGTAGGCAAAAATGTCAAGGTCAGTTCAAGCTCAGAGGCTGGAAGGATTGGACAAGAATGTCTGGTAAGTCTGCCTGACTGGAGTTAGGAAACGTGAAATATAGCATGCTCTGGAAGCCTGACATAAGATATAACCAGCACAAATGCAGGCCAAGGAGATAATGCTAGCTCCACCCCTTGCATGCCTGGCAGAAATTACCTATTCTCTTTTATACAAAGAGATCTTAGTCAGAGCAGGGCTGTGCCTAGGCAGGCTGCCTGAATCCCTTTAATTCTCTGTAGTTTGTTCTCTGCAGGGTGGAGTTTGTGAAACTGGCTGCCACTTACCCAACTGTGAACCTTGGCCAGGGCTTCCCTGACTTCCCTCCACCAGACTTTGTGAAGGAGGCATTTGTGAAGGCTGTCAGCGGAGAGAATGCCATGCTGCACCAGTACACCCGGGTCTTTGTGCGTGAGAGCATCCTCCTTCTACAGCAGTTGCTGCTCTCCCCACTACCCTTTGAATCAGACAGCTCCTAAAGACCTCAGTTGTCCAGAGGAAGTAGAACAGATGCACTGGCTGGGCAAGTGGATTGGGGAGTCCCTGATTCTTCTTTGTGAGGGAGGGGAGCCAAGAGGCTTCATGCTGAATGCTCTCTGTAAAAAGGAAAGCAGGGTTAAGTGCTCTAGACTTGAGCAGACAGAATTGGGTTCAAACCCCTGCTGGATGAGGAGGACTAAGAACATGGGCCTCTGGATTTCTAGGCAAGTGTCCTAATCGCTCACCTATCAGGGCTATAGCAGAAGCATGTCTCTCCTTCTCCTCCATCTTATGCCCACTAGTCACAGGTTTTGCTACTTACATGCCTTTATGCATCCACAGCGTTGAAGAGGCCAATCCAGTTAGAGTTGTACAACTCGTGCTGTCTCTCCCTACAGGGACACCCTGCTCTGGTGACCATCCTGGCCCGCTTTTTTGGGAAGCTCCTAGGTCAAGACATCGATCCTTTGACCAATGTAATGGTGACAGTTGGGGCATACGAGGCCCTGTTCTGTTGTTTCCAGGCTCTGGTCGATGGTGGAGATGAGGTAACAGAGGACTCTGGCTATACAACAACTGTCGTGGCATCTGCATTTAGTCCTGCTGCTGCACAGTGAAGTTGGGCATGAAAAGACAGGCTTTTGTTTAGTTATACAGGCCATCCTGTGGAAGGGCTGGTCTGCTTGTTAAGGGCTCTCTGGTTCCCGGAGCAGGATCCTCACAGCTAACCTTCTGCAGAGTAGGGGTTTTGCAAATTCCACTCCTCTTCAGCCATCCGCTGTTTTGGTTCCTGGGGAAAAAATGCATCGCCCAGTGGGCACCAACGAACCTTCTCATTTCCAACAGTGGCAAAAGAGTTTTTCTGCCCACATTAGTCATTTCTTCTTCCTAGTACCCAGCTACTTTGGGGTTGGAGACCTTCAACTTAAACCAATGAATTTACATCTAGAAGTGACATCTCCTGCCCCCTGTATATCTCCCTGCATCCCACAGCAATGATGAGAGCAGGACCATGAGATCCCTGAGGCTGCCTCTTGTCCTTTGCAGGTGATTATCATTGAACCCTACTTTGACTGCTATGAGCCAATGGTGAAGATGGCTGGGGGGACTCCAGTGTTCATACCACTGCGACCAGTAAGTGGACTCAAAGCAAGTCATCAATTTTAAGGAGTGTATTCATCTTAGTAACAGCATGTGTAGACCGACCCACCCTGTGGAATCAGGCAGTCCAGGGGCTGGTTCCCTTTCACTCCCCCTGAAGTGGGATATTTTGTTAAAAATTTTGGACAGGAAAATTCTCATTTTTTATCTTTTCATCCTGATTCAGGTTGATTTTTCCCCCCCTAAAATTCAAACATGAGAGGTCAACTCTCTTTTCCAGCCAGTCCTAACTAGGAACAAGGGCTCCATTCCTGACACTTCCACTGAATCGCTATACTACGTGGGCCTGGACACTGCAATACTCTGTGCCTCAATTTACCCATCTTTAAAATCAGGGCAATGACATTGACTTATTTCAACAAGAGTGTGATTGGGTGGCTTAATTCATTCTGTTAGCAAAGTGCTTTGAGACACTCAAACAGAGATGTAGAAAATGGGCAATATATTGTTATAAAGACCCAGAGACAGTCCTAGCCAGAGCACAGTGTAAGGTCACCCCAATCTCCAGACATCATTTGTTTCTTAGACCATAACTCCCTCTCTCTGACCTCTCCAGAAAACTCCAGAACCCGGAAAACTGATGTCCAGTGGAGATTGGCAGCTGGACCCAGCAGAGCTGGCTTCCAAGTTTACCAGGCGAACCAAGGCCATTGTCCTGAATTCACCCAACAACCCCTTGGGGAAGGTAATGCTGCCGGTGTTTGTGAGAGGACTGAAAGTGCTGAACTGAAGAAACCAATGCTGGTTGTCTCCCTAGAGCCTGCACTTGCATTGTGCCTCAGTCTTCTCCTGCCTGAAGATCCTGAGAGGACTGGGTAGGCAGAGAAGTCAGGGGTGCCCCTGAGAAGGTCCAGTGAGGGTCCCGTTTCACAGAAGTCGTATCACTTGCCTGTGAACAAAGAATAAGAAAGGGGGAGAAATGTTGCACCCCAAGGGACGACCCAGTGTTAGCACACTGCACTTGTTGCTTTGGGGTGGGTTGGTTTAGAGCCTTATCTGTCGTTTCCGAGAGACAGAGAGCATCTTCTGAGGTAACAATCAGATCCCTAGCTCTAGCAATGAGCGTCTCATCCCAGAGCCGAAGGGGAATCCCTGTCTATGGAATTTGGATGGGAGGACATGCTGCGAGGGACAGCATGGTCCCTGTGGGCAGAGGGTGCTGCTGTAACTTGGCGGGGACAGTGTCACTAATGATGGGAGAGATCATCCTGTGAGGCAGTTCCTGGCAGCTCTGCACCTGCTCCAAGGAGGGAGCAATGGGCTGACAGTGTGGAACTCACAGCCCTGCTTGAACTGAGCCTGGACACCCACTGTGGGATGTGGAGACTCCTAGGATAGCCACAGCAGAGGCTAAGAAATGCTGGGCTTGAAAATCCCCCTCCTGCCTGGCATAGGTGTTCAGCAAGAAGGAGATGGAGCTTATTGCAGACCTGTGTGTGAAACACGATGTCCTGTGCTTCAGTGATGAAGTGTATGAGTGGCTGGTCTATGACGGGAAGAAGCATATCCGGATTGGTAAGAGGAATGCCTTGCAGGTACCTGGGCCTCTGCACCCTCTTGATCTAAATCTCCTTCCTAGAAAAAGAGCACTGTGCTGCTGTGCTTGGGGGTGGGATTACAGTGACCAATCAAATGTATTTCACTTGCTTCCCCCGACAGCGTTTGGGAATGAACTCGGTATTTAAGGGGAGCTAATACAGCTCTGCCATAGTACCTCTTGCTCCCACTGCACTATTCCCGGAAAGTGCTTGGAGGCATTTGAATGAGAAGCCCTTTAGAACTGTACAATGGCTGTACAAACTGCAGTGGCCCTAGGGGTCCCCTTGTGGCACTAATACACTAATTGAACCTGTGAAGTCGTTCACGGAAAGATCTTCCAGCAGCTCTTCTCTTGTTCCATTGGCAGCCAGCTTGCCAGGCATGTGGGATCGGACCGTAACCATTGGAAGTGCTGGAAAAACCTTTAGCGCCACAGGATGGAAGGTAACAAAGTAGAATGGTGGAAGAATTCCCGTGCATAAAACCTTTCTGCCTTTGCCCCCTGATTCACTTGATCCATTGTGAGAGTCTGTGACTGAGGTTGAACGGAAATCAAATTGATGCTTCCTGTTCCCTGAAACTGCTCTGCCAGATGCTTTGTCCAGCCACTGTAACATGGGAGATTCTGTCTCTGTGAGCGTGCCTTTAGACCTGAGGGATTGGAGGCCCCAGAGGATGCTTTAGAGACTAATCTAGTCTTGTCTGGGATAGAGGGTGAAGTGGCAGGAGGTAAAGTGAGCAGGGGTAAGATGCCTATAGATCTCAAATGCTCTCTCCTCTTTGTGGTAACAGGTTGGCTGGACGTTGGGGCCTGATCATCTTGTCAAACACCTCCAAACTGTCCACCAGAACTGTGTGTATCACTGCCCAACAGCAGCTCAGGTGAGGGGAATGCATCTGGGGAGGCTCTTGTGTCCATAGTCCCTCCGCCCAGCCAGCCTACAAACATGCAGAGCCTGGAGGCAAGAGCCACTGTCCTCAGATCTACCATTCTGCTACTGTGCACCTTTTCTAGGGCACCAACCTTGTCCTTTCCCTTGGATATGAAAACCAAATCAGGTGATGCTTCAACAACTGTTCTAGTGTTTCCTGTCTGCTCTGGTCCTAAGATGGCAAAGGAATAGCTAGTGGCAGAGCTGATCGTTGCCAACACAGGAAACAGACAGAAAGGGATGCATTGTGACCCTACGTGCCCCCACCCTCACAGCATGCTTGGGAGGAAGGGGCCAGAGTTGTACAACTCCAGCTCAAGTACCACGCACGATCTGTCTCTGGGGTTGAAGGAAGGCTTCCTGTGTTATGATGGGCAGGAAGCCAAGTTCCAGGCCCAGCACAGTTTTACCCTCCCCTTGTCCCCTTTGAATCTGGGAAAGAGTGAAAAACTCTAGTTCTTGGGTCTTTAGCAAACCGTGAACAACTCTCTGTTCCTGTCAGAGAGTGATCTGAGCGTACTCAGGGGTGTTTTCCACTGGCTTTGAGTTCCTCTCTCCCTCCAGGAAGCAGTGGCTCAAGGGCTTCGAAGAGAGTTTGAGCGCTATGGGCAGCCAGAGAGTTATTTTGTCCAGCTGCCTCAGGAGCTGCAGCAGAAGCGGGACCAGCTAGTTCAAAGCCTACTTGCCGTGGGCATGAAGCCCATCATCCCGGAGGGCACCTATTTCCTGATTGCAGACCTCTCTGAGTTCAGTAAGTCTGGCACCTGCTCCTGGCCTTCCTACCGAAGGGTGACGTTCACCACTGGGGCACTGGGTCCTGCAAAGTCTAGGAAAAAACAAAACCTAGTCTGTGGGTGCATCTACACATGTGCTTTGATGTGCAGTAGCCTATTCTATTGCTTATAAAAGTGGTGCGTATATAACTGTGCTAACACGCTAATGCATGGTAGAATAAGCTATTGCACATTAAGTGTCACCTCAAAAGTTTGCGCTTGCTCTACTGAGCAATAGCGTAGTCTAGTGTGTATTTACTTAATGCCTTATATTGGAGGTATTAAATTTAAAGTGCATGTAGATGTGCCCTGTATTTCTCACTTTTCATTAGGAAGGGAAAAGAAAGGACAAAGCATGAATTTGGTATGTGAGTAAATGTAGTGCTTAGTGTAGTCCTGACTTAATAGCACTGTATTAAATTGAGCACAGTGTGGGCAGATGCTGTCATCTCCCCCAAGCATCTACAAACTCGCATAAATGTAGCCTATGATCAGTTGTCCTGGTCTGGGGCTTCCTTTGAAACAAGACCAGCAAATGTGCTCTACTGCCCAGTAACAGGATGAAATGGCCATGTGCATTTCCACCTGTGGCCTGATGCAGTTTAAATTCAAGTCCTTAGAGAAGATGGATGCATGTACTCGCCCAACAAGGGTATCTGAGTTCTCATTGTCATTTGGCCTGGTTTGGAAATCTACGTCTGAGTCATTTGTGCCACCATTCTCCTTGCCCATGTTGCCGTGCATGTCCTGCAGAAGCTGAAGTGCCTGATCTCCCTGACCGTGAGGAACCCTACGATTCTCGGTTCGTAAAGTGGATGATCAAGAATAAGGTACACACCTCTGTCTCTTTCTGTGGTGTTTGTATTCTGAGTGGGTCTTGCCATTCTCTTTGCTCCAGTTCAGTTCAAGGCTTGTGCTGGCAGTGGTGCATTGACTTGAAATAGTTAGTCCTGCTGTTGTAGAGTTCAGGGACTGGCTACCATTGCTCCACCTTTTCTAATTTGCAACCTCTTCCCTGTCCTGGTGTCTACTAGAGTTCATCATTGCCCTCCCTTACATTAGCCAGCTGTACATATACCCACCTTCTGCCCAGCTGCCTCAGAAGTCAAGGACGCCTACCCTCGCTGTGATGCCTTCTCCAGGTGACCAGCTTGTTACACCTCTGTCATTCTCTCCTCATGCTGATAGTCCCTGTCACAACAGAGGCTTTCAGTACTGAGTCCTCCAAGGACCTAAGAAAGATAGAGGAGGATTACATCAGGTTTGCCTGGCAACTATTGGCTTCTATTGAGAGTTTTATCGCTAATCTTGAGAAGAGCAAGCCACTAGAAGTGAGACTTACCTGGAGTTTCTGCGAGCGCTGAACCTTGTGCAGATATGTGGCTTCTAATGATCAGAGGTCATGTGAGATTCTGCAGAAGCTGAGAGGGGAGTAACGCAAGCTCATGTTCTCTTTCTCTGCTCCACCTTTAGGGCTTAGCTGCCATCCCTGTCTCTGCTTTCTACAGCACTGCGCAGAAGAGGAATTTTGACCATTTCATCCGGTTCTGCTTTGTGAAGGTGAGGTGCCTGGGAGAGCCAACCTCAGATAAGTGGGGTCAAGGTACTGACTGTTCCAGTGATGAGGTGAATACCAGGCAGGGCCAGGCCAGGCTGCAGAGAGGTTCAGGTGTCCTGTCCTAGTTCCAGATGCCTGCATGCAAACCAAGCTGCACCCTTGTGCTGAAGGCTGTCCCCAGGGAGCCCAATTGTAAAAAAGGCACTTAGTCTTTCAGGCAAAGGCATCAGACATAACACTAGTCACATCACTCCCTTGTGTCCCGTTGGCAGTAGAACGTAGACTGCCTTAACTGTGCTAGCTGATGGACCATTCAGCTTGGGCAGACCTTAGACTTTTTTTGATGTCAAGATAGATGCTTGATTCATGGGCTTACAACACAGAACAGGTAAGTGGAACCACTGGTTACACTCAAAGCTGTCCCCAGAAAATGCTAGCTGTTAGCTTTAACTTGGTTGTTTGACTACAGGAAAACAATAGAGCAATTCTTCTGTTTCAAAGAACTCACACCACAACAGGTCAGAATGTTTTTCAAACTACAAATTCCTATTTGGAATATCTGGTTTATCTTGTGAATCACGGGAAGGTGTTTGCATACCTAACGGTGCTAATATTGCACAGCACCTTGAAAAGGATCTCTCAGCACCCCAAGGTGTTACAGCACCTTGGTTGAGAATCACTGGGATGGGAACTAGGGTGGCTTGAGAACAGTCCCCCTGGGAGCATCAAGGCAGCAGGGTAGATATTCCCACAGTCACCAGAGGCATGAGACTGAACTTAAAAAGCATAGAGCTTTGCTCCTGTGCATTTGGCCAAAATGGCCTCTCTTACTGCTTTGAGATTGCTGGGCCTGTGCACAGAAGTGGCTGCCCTTCCTGATCCCATATATGTAGCATTTGTGGTGTTGCAGAATAGAAGTGGGGGGTTGAATATCGCATTCTCTTATTTTACTGTGCAATGTGGAGAAGGGAGGGTCTGGGCACTGGAGCCCGCTGGTACTGACTGATTGATGTTTGGTTAGGAGGAAGCTACGCTGAAGGCAGCAGAAGACATACTGCAGCAATGGAAGCTGAAGAAAACTGGTCCATGATCCCGCTAGACAGAGTACAGGGCTTCTTTTCCATCTGCTGTGCCCTGCTCCTTTTGATGCAGCCAACTAGGCTACAGACTCTTGCTTAGTGTCTTGATTTTAGCTATTTACTGCATCACTGGATTTCAGTCACTTCTCTTGTTTGCTCAGGCAAGATGGGTGTCAGCCCTTGGGCCTGGTTCAAAGCTTTATGTCACCGTAAAGTGTTCCACTTCCCCCTAGGACTGGCAACCCTGTAGGTACACTGGAAATACTTTACAATTCCTATTTATATTTTTAAAGCCTTTAGCAATCTATTTACCCTGGGATCCCAGCAGATAAGACAGATAGCACAAACAGCTGCCAGGTTATTGGTGAGGATCTTCTTTTCCCCACCTCTGAAGTCATCACGAGACAAGAGAGCTGGCTTAGACTTCTTGGGGGCAGTTCCCCATGCTGTTGCACTTGTGTGGTGCAGGCAGAATCTCAGCAGAACCTAGGTTTCCCAGATGGCACTGAATGATATTACAGCAAGGCTGACTGGCTGAGCTCAGACATCCTGGGTCACTGGGGTCCGTAAATGCAGCACTTTTCCCATCGGTCCATTCTGTTCTACCATTCTGCATCTCTGATGAAAATCACTGCAAACTGGACAACCAGGTGATCTAGAAAACTTGTCCTAGCAAGAAGTCTAACTTGAAACCCTGCCCATCTATCCTTCTAACTCCATCAACTGCACTTTATCAGCACCTAGCACCACATTTCCCAAATAGCAGAACAAGTGCTTTAGGCCTTCAAAAAATGCTCAACATCAGATACAGTGGGAAGAAAGTAAGAGTGAGGGACCTGGCTTCCCTTTCTGTTGCCTAACAACATCTTCAGTGCTTTACAGAAATTCAGCTATGAGTTGCCTGGCTTTGAGGAGAGCAGCAGAGGGCTCTGGTTTCTGTACTTGTGTTTTTCATACACTCCCATTTGAGAAATGGATTATTTTTCATATAGCGTGGACTAGATTTTGATCATTCACTCTGTTGCAACATCTTAATTTAAATATGGGGGGGGCTAATGTGAAAGTAAACACATGTAAATCAACATCTTAAACCATGATAGAGCGGTATGTAACTGTAATGAGAAGCATTTGTACTACACATTTAGATGACTAAAATGGTCAAACAGAAGTAGGGGTTCGTCTGCTTAATGCTTTTGGTGTTTACTACAGTCCACCTTCAGCTGTAGCCAGCAGTAGTATTTTCCTGTGGTTGCAAATGGGCTATAGTTAATATCACTGAGATATTCACAAGGGGCCAAGGTCAGAGCTACATACATGAAACTAAGAGGGAAAATCATCTTGCAGACCTGAGCCAGTGGATTCAGAGCTGATTTTGGTTATGGGGCCCAGACTAAAGAGTAAGTCCTGTGTTTTCCCACGCCCCCTATACACAGGTGCACAGTACAGTGGGTAACTCCTGAGACTCCTGCCTGCTTGGCCGTAAATTGTCTCTGGCTAAATGACAAAACAATGTGAAGTACTTCTTACACCTCAGAGGGCACACCTACACATTCATGAATGCGACTTAGCTGCTGCACATTTAGTTTAGTACTTGCTTAATAAAGTACTAACTAAACTTGCAGTAACTAGAGTTACTGCACAGTAGCGCCAGCGCATGGTTGTTTAGTGACGCTTACTGCACATTAGCCTAATAACACTGCGCAGTCAGCTGTTAGCACAGTTTGTAACTGCCACATGACTGCACAGTGTTATTGGGCTAATGCGCAGTAAGTGTCTTGTGTTTCAAAAGATGGAGACTGTCATGAGTGGAAAGGGAAGGTACTCAGAAACATCCCAGGAAGGTTCAGACAGGGGGGAGCCTGCCTGGAGCAGGGGCTTGAACCAGCTGCCCCTGAGGGGCCCCTTCCAGTCCCCTTTTCCTATGTTTTAGCAAGAATGGTTAGTACCGCATTTAAAATATATCTTCCTTGAAGTTGCTGACCTCTTGCATCTCCCCCCGCCCCCATAGCCCCCCCTGCACTATGGGTGGCGCGTACACAGCCAGCCCCGCCAAGAGATTGGTGCCTGGGCTCAGCCCCGCTGCCACTGAGGTTCAAGCAGGACTTCCCTGTTGGAGTGAAGCTCCACCGTTTTCCGTCTGCCATCCAGCCCCGGAACTAGCCAGCCCCCGCTTAGCTTCAGAGGCAGCGCGCAGCCCCTCGCTTCGCCGGGTGGGGGGGTGATGATGCGTGCTTTCCTCCACCAATCAGCTGCCAGCGAAGAGCAGGGCGGAAGCGCAGGAGCAGCAAGATGGCGGAAGCTCCCGGCAAGCGGGCGCGGGGTGCGGAGGTGAGCACGTGGGTTGGTGCTGGCGGGCCTGGAGCGAGGGGTCCGGGCGCTGTCCAGCCTGGGACCCTCCCCCGGTCGGCAGGGCTGGAGGCTGCAAGGGGGAGAAGGCAGTGGGGGAACAGCCTCGTCAGACCCAGCCCTGCTCCCTTCCAGCCTCCGCGCCCTGCCGGCCTGTGACACTGGCCCGCTTGTTGCGTCCAAGGCATCGCGGGCGGTCGCCCAGCAAGGAGAACTAGAAGCCTCGCTTAGGACCGGAGGCCGCTCAGAAAGTAACTAATGTCTTGGGACAAAGGAAAGGGGAAACGGGGATGGGAGCAATGGTCTGAGGTCCAGAATGAGCGCTCCAAGTGGGGGGCGCCGCGCAGAGCGCATTGGACGGTGCCCGCTGGCTGTTGGACACGTCCGTGGAGCCGGTGGACGCTGCCGTGTGAAACTGCCAGGAGACGTGAATGGAGTGGGGACAGGAGAACAGCCCTGGGGGCCCTGTGCGTGACACGGGCCTTTTCATAAGTCGTTCTGGAACATGGGCCAAAGCCCGCCAAGTAGAGCTATGAACCCCCCTCATGAGGGGTCACAGCGCTGATCCTTTGGGACAAATAAAAGACAAAATGGATGGAAGCGAGGTCATGGGTTAACAACGAGTGCTCCAAGGGGGGCACCGAGCAGAGCACACTGGGCAGCACCCACTGGCCCTCAAATGAGTCCAAGGAAGGAGCCAGTGAACGCTGCTCAGAGATGGGGACTGCAGGGCCATTTTCCTGTCCCTGGTCCATTCACAAGTGTCCTCTGGGTGACACAGGCCACTGTGGTTAAAGGGGTTGTGGGCAAAAAGCCTACCAAGTGAACCTATAAACCTTCCTCAGAAAGGGAGGCTACTGGAATTAAAGTGGCAACTGATTTCCAGGAACAAATGAGAACAAAACAGGGATGCTGGTGAAGGTCAAAGGTTCGAAATAAGTGCACCAAGGGAGGACACCGAGCAGAGCACACTGGGTAGTGCCCACTGGCCCTCAAATGAGTCCCAAGAGCCAGCAGACACTGCCCAGTGGTACTCCGCTTGGAGACGTGAACGGACCAAGGACAGGAAAACAGTCCTGCAGTCCCAGGGGTCTTTTGTGTGACACAGGCTTATTTGTCCACCTTTAAAAACACGTGGGCCCAGCCCACCAAGTCTCTCATTGGCCTCCCTTAGGCGGGGAGGCTACAGGAAAGGGAAAGGAGAAAACAGTTCTTGGGACAAATAATGAAAAAAATAAGGATGGGAGTGCCAGTTAGAGACTCAAAACACGTGTGCCAAGTGGGGGCATCAAGCAGGAGCACACAGTTCAGTGCCCACTGGCCCTCAAACGAGTCCAAGGAGCCAGCAGAGACTGCCAGCGATACTCTGCCTGCAGACATGAACAGACCAGGGGCAGGAAAACAGCCCCACAGTCCCAGGGGTCTTCTGTCTGACACAAGAGACTGGGCAAGATCGACCCATAGCCTGTCCCAGTAAATGGCAGGTCTTACGTTCTTACTCACCTGGGTATTTCTCAGTGCCTGGCTCATTCAGATTGGTCTGCCTTGGGAGGAGTGTATTGATACGTTTGCAACATGAGTACTGGCTGATCCTCACTAGCCCGCTGATAGAATGGACATGGTTTACCCTTTCTGTTTTAGGGGGAAGAGAAGATCGACTGGCGAAAATGGAAACAAGAAAGTAAGGATCTTCTCATACTCATACTCATATTATAGAGCTTTGAGCAGTTCTAGAAAGAAACTAAAACCATGCCAAGGAGCTATACTTGACAGGCTGTTACTGGAATTGAGCACCAGTTTTATTTCAAAGTCATGGATTCAAAGCCAAAGTAGGCCAGCTGGCAATAAGAAGGTGCTATTCAAGGACTATTGTATGTAAAGCGGCTCATAGTTTCATAGTAGCTAGAGTCAGGAGGGACCTGAACAGATCATCTAGCCTGACCCCCTGCCACAGGCAGGAATCAATGCTGGGTTCACAAGACCCCAGACAGGTGATCCATCCAACCTCCTCTTGAATTTGCCCAAGGTAGGGGCAAGGACCACTTCTCTGGGAAGCTGGTTCCAGATTTTGGCCACCCTAATTGTAAAATATTGCCTCCTGATCTCTAACCTAAACCTATTCTCCATCAGCTTATTACCATTATTACTATCATGCCCAGTTTGTTAATAAAGATGTTTTCTTTTTACAAAAAACTGAGTGAAGAAGCTAGCTTTCCCACTCCCTCAGCAAAGCAAAAACAGTCACTTTATGTTACTGTTGATAACTGCTATTCCCTCTGTTCCTGACGTAGTGTAATACATTTTTTTCTTCTCTGGCTGTTCCCTCATGCCATCACCCACTTCTGTCTAGCCTCCCTAAAATAGGAGGTTGAGAATTTACTTGAGTTCTGGTGATAGCATTGTTTAAATTCTTGATCATTCTCTTTTAGAAAAGGCTGAAAAGAAAAAATGGAAGGAAATCAAGTTGTTGAACAGACTGGAAAAGCAAAGAATGCAGAAGCTAATGGTGAAACAAAAAGAGGAAGAAAAGCCTAAAGAAGACAAAGGTAATGCCTAATCAGAGGAGGGCTCTGTAAGAGAAACCAGTGTTAGTGGGGCAGATAATTATACCAACTGTATAGACAGAAATAACTATCTCAAGCAGCAACCTTCTCTTAGCTTTGTTGCCTGAACTTGTTAATCACCTGGCAGGTGAAATACATCCTTACAGCTCTGCTCCACCTTGCAGAAGTGGTCAGTAAAGAGACCAACAAAATTCTGCTGGAGATGGTTTTCTTTGTACTTGCCTGCAATGTATCATAATTCCTCTACTTGTCTTAACCTCTCACCATCCTTGCCTGTAATGAAGTCCTTAGTATTTGTGCAGGAAGAATGTTGCCCATCTTCTAATTTTTAACCAGCTGGACTGAGCCATCGCATCCTCCTTTAGACATTTCCCACAGAGGGTCTCTTAAGCAATTTTCCCATTTGTATGAGAAGCAGGGTCCTTTAAAGATGTTTGGACTCCTGCCATTGGTTTTAACAAGTGTGTTGCCCTTAGCCTGCAAAGGGCACCACCTCAAAGAGCTTGGTATCCAGGCAACACTTTTAAATTCTTATTAGGATTCAAGTTGCATTGTACAAACGTAGAGCAGCCTCTACACCACTGAGGTTAAAATCTCAACAGCAGAAAGGGCTGAATAACGCAAATGGGAGCAAAGCTTCATGGAGAGCTCTGACCCTTCTTTGTTTCTCTAGGACGTCACTACACCGTTAGTGTAGCTTTGCCAGGCTCTATACTGAACAATGCACAGTCCCTGGCATTACGGACATACCTGGCTGGGCAAATTGCCCGGGCCTGTGCCATCTTCTGCGTGGATGAGATTGTGGTATTTGATGAGGAAGAAGAAGGCTCAAGGTAAGGGTGATTCCAACTTATTCCTTGAGTACTTTTTCTTTGTGTTTCCTGTTTCTTTGTGCAGTTCTCAGATGGAGGGATGGTTGTTTGCTTTGGTCAGAACTGAGCTGGTAATGAGGGCAAGGCTCTCTTTCAAGTTGCTCTTTTTCTGACTGTATACTTGCGAATTCTTCAAGTACCAATGAGATAGCGTTTCATGTGGGTCTTGATTCCATGAGCTATGTAGAGGCCTGGTTGGGTCACAGAACGTGTCTGTTCTCTTTCAGGAGTGTGGAGGGGGAGTTTCATGGAATTGGGAAGAAAGGACAGGCTTGTGTGCAGCTGGCTCGGATTCTGCAGTACTTGGAATGTCCTCAGTAAGTCCAGTGTAATGGCTTCACACATCATACACACTGCTAAAGCACTTGGACAGTTATTAATGTGACAGCATAAGAGCTGGCAACAGGAGATGCTGGTGACTAGAAAAATACAACCAGAAAGTTAGTAAAGTGCCCCGTTATTCAGTTTTCTCCTGTATTGTGCTACCATATTTGGAGGTGCAGGTTCCATTTTAGTTTGCCTGCTTTGCTCCCAAGTATGACTCAAAATCCTGCATTAATGCACAGAAGAATACACTCTGGAAAGGGGGGCAGAGGGCACAAGGAAGTCCTAGTGTCTGACACCAGCATTCATTGACCATCCTCAAGTGTGGCCAGAGCTGGGGCAATAGTGGGTTTTATTCAGAATTCAGACTGGGACTCCTTAGAAATGATACTGTTAAGACTCAAGTCTTTCTTTTCACAGATACCTGAGAAAATCTTTTTTTCCAAAACACCAGGATTTGCAGTTTGCAGGTAATGTCTTGATGTCTTCCCTTACCCTTTCTGTTCCCGTCCTGAAGCTACAGGCCTCCCTGTCCCAGATTAATGAGTCCACTTTATACTCTCAGCCCTTCATGAACTTACTTCCTTAGCCAAGCGGCCTGTTTTCATTCTAGCATAACTAGGGACCTACCTAAATTGTGGTTCTGTGGATTTTACAGAAACCATGAAAACCAGTGTTGTCCATGATTACTGGGAAATCTGGCATTGGCTGCAATTTCCCACAAAATCAACCAACCCCCCCCCCCCCCCCCCA